GTATGCTTCTGCTCTGAAGTCCCGCCTCCTTGTACTTGTGCAATTAATCGCCGGACGGGTATATTTATAAATAATATTATGTTAGGGACATTTTCCTATACATATTTGCGACCTGGGGGTAGAACTGATTGTGAACTGGAAAAGGAAAATGCTTATGAACTTGCAAATTAAAAACATGATGCATTTAAAGCAACCCTTTTTCATTTTTATTTAAAAAGAGAATTTGTTCTAGTGTGCGATGGCCGAACCTGTTCCTTTTCGTGGAGATAATTTCTCTTCACATGGCACAGAGGAGGCTGCAGTGCAGAGAAACTGGTAGAGATGCAGTTATACAGTCTGGGCCCCACCAACTATCAGCTAAAGAGAATAAATAAATTCAATTGCTGCACATTTGGCAGACTAACATTTTAAGATTAATTAAAAAAAAATAAGATATATATTTTTATAACATTACATGTGAAGAGTAAAATGGAAGTTTTTCTAAAGTTATTTAATGATATTTATATTATGAAAATAGGATTTTTGACATTTTACCTTTTCCCCGTTGTCAGATAAAATAAACACGCACAAAACAAAAGCAAACAGCCAGAACACAAAGCTGGAAAACCCACCCGATCGACCAAAATCAACTCCAAATCCTCCCACACAACAGAACCTCCTGTATTCCTCGCTGGCTCCAAATCTCAGTGGAATGATCAGTGGTTCGCTCTCTGTCACCATCACAACACTCCACAAATCCCGCGAATGATTCGCTTCCTTATAAACCATTGAATCAGACTAGGCTCTAACTGACGCTTCGGACGTCACTGATCACGTGACTCTGGCCAAACGAATCAAGCTTCGACACAGAGCTTCTGAAGCTGTGTGTTCATTTTTGTGACACACGCACCGGAGCGTCAGCTTCAAGCGGGCCATCACCAATTTTTGGATCAAGAGGTTACCTGCTCTACCACCTGAGCTACAGCCACATATGATTAAATACTAATCATCAGTGCCATAAACAGTATTATACGATTTGGTTTAGCTGTGAGTAAAACATCAGCAACAGCTCCTCCTCCTTTCTCTCCTTCTTTAATGTTTATCCGGTTGTTCAGTCTGACGTCACTAGCCGTGTCTGGGCCTAAACTCCGCTGCAGGTCCATATATCAAACGATCACTGTGGCATTACTGAGAGTTAAAAACTGTCTAAAGTCTTTCATCTTTAATAAAATGATCAGCGTTCTGCTCTACCAGGTGTAACAATTGAGTTTAACATCCAGGCATCCATGAAAACGGAATTTATGACATTTAACGGAGTTAGAAGTTAGCAGGAAGTTAGCTCGCTAGCTTCTATCTAAATACAATATAGCATGTCCTGACTGCGGGGTTTTGGAAACAAATTAAAACGTACAGCTCTGTTATCACTTCCAACATAAATGAAGACAGAAAACTAAACAGCAGTGACGTTTGTAGGGTTACTGAAGTTGGGCTAGCTGGTATATAAGGATGTGCTACGTGACCGCTAGCGACACAGCTATGTTAGCATAACATAAACAAGCTAACTTTTTTCCCACTGGATAAAAGTTAACGTGAGTGTTCTCGGTGGTCAGGAACAAATGTAATCGCATGGCAGGATGCTGTAAAAGGACCAAACTTCAGCCAGGAGAACAACTGAGATAATCCATCCACAATACGAGGTTAGTCATTCATATACTGCTGCATGGGCTGGGCTGTAGTTACATCCTAAGGTTTTAAAAACTGAGCTTAAATAAATGATTAGCGGTAATAAAAGCCGAGGGAGGTCAACAGGGATCACTGACTGTTTTAGGAGCTTTTTGAGATCAAATAGAAGAAAATACAAAACATTAAACATGTTAACAACACAAAAGCCATATTAAACGCAGACTACTTTAGGCCCGGAAGTAGGATTCGTCGCGTCATCACTGAACAACCGGATTCTGTGCAGGCACAGACAAATGTGACGGGATTTAAACACAGTGGAAAACACAGTAAACAACACTCGGAACACAACAGCACATATTAGAGTCTATCAGTAGAAATATAGAATTACTTGAGACTATGTCTTGTCATGTCTGGTAAAGTCCAGAGAGCTTGTACAGAGTGAACAGAAAAAGTGATAACACTGCAAAGATAAGAGGTGTACGTATGTACATTTGTGTATGTGAGACATGCTTTAGTGTTAGTGCCTTAGACTAAACTCACTAAAGTGTCTTTATTTTAGGCACCATACATGCTGTAAAATCTAATCGAATACACAACACCCACAAATAACTTGATATGGCGTAGTTGATATATAATAGGACGCTTGAAGATGTGCTTATTTGAGAGCTTAGAAATGTGTTAGGTAGGATGTAGAATTATTGTAGAGACACTGACACTGCCTGGATGCAATAAAGGCCTGAGTGTGTCATGAATTTAGGAGTAGATTTCTAGGAGGCCCTCCCCCACTTTGAACTGTGACAGTAAGACAAAGAGAAGTTAATGTTGAGTGGAAATTCCCCAGGGGAGACCTGGGTGGGGGTCTCAGTGTTTGTAATATGTTAACTCTGTTTTCTCTGTTGTGTAGAGGAATTTGGTGTAGCTTGGGTGAGGAGATTACTTTTGTGACCAGCAGGAGGTCACATACACAGAGACACACACGCAGTGCTTTGACTGTTATGACGCACCCACACCTACATGCACACTCACTCACGTGCACTCACATAGACACACGGGTACGTGCACACACAGGCACTCACGTGCTCGTGCGTACACACACAGACACAGAGTTTGCAGCACACCGTGGGGGTTTTATGACGGGGTCGCTGGCACCTCTCCCCTTCTAGAAGATGCTTAACCCTTGTATGGTGTTCGGGTCTGTGAGACCCGTGTTCAGTTTTTTTCAAAAGAAAAATTAAACAATTATTTTTTCACGTGTAAATGTGTTGTGTCTTTCCACTCACTCCACTTGATTATAACTGATTTATTTATAACATTTTATATAAAAGAAAAACGAGAAGCACATTAATTCATAAATGTGATCTAACAAAGGTAAAGGGAAAACATTAACCATGTTTGCTGTTCATATGTCTTGTAATTGGGATGAAGTAAACATCTGTTGAGTCATTTAACATAAAATTGTTTGATAGTGTTAATTTGGAAAGCCAAAACTCTAGCGGGTCCACCAGACCCATGAACACTGGCTGAGTAACAAAAATACGAACACCACACAAGGGTTAAATGAAGGTGAATAAAGGTTTTGTGAAAATGACTACTGAGTCCGGTGCCGTCTCTGGATGCTCGAGGAATAAAAAGAACCGGGTGACTGATTTCATAACACATTGTAGACAGTGAGAATGTTGTAGTTATGGTGTAGCCAGCCTATTGTATCCACCTGTTGTGTGTTATTGTGACATTGTTCAGCAGTGGTGATTAAGGCCTGTGTACATTGTTGTACATGTGTGTGCAGTGTCTTGCTTGATTGCAATGCTGCTCTGATTTGTTGTAGAATTATATGAATAAATAAAGGTCCCTGAAAATGTTATATCAAACAGTTGCGTTTCTGTTGAAGCTCCTAACATTCGAGGTGACTGGTAAACAGCTCTGAACCCGCACAACCATCATTCATTTTCTTGACTACTTATACAAATTAGGGTTTCTAGACCATATCCCAGCTGATACTGGGCTGAGGTGTGTTGCACCCTGGGCACAATACCAGAGCTGTAGAGTGTTTAAAGTCGAGTCCTTGAGGCAGCTCTTGTTGTGATTTGGTGCTCTATAAATGAAAATAAACTGAACTAACACAGAGACATGTTTATGGAGTGTGTGGGACGGCCAGAGTACCCAGAGGAGGCACAAAAAACTACAACAAAAAATGAATCTGAGTATGTTACACCCAACACTGATACCAACTGTCAGCTGTTTTCTTGAGAACGCTCTTTATTGTTTTGAAGGAAGAAAAACAAAACCACCGTCAGTTAGAATAACTCTCTTTGTTCACATTTATGTTTTTGGGTTGTAAGTATCCCTGCTTTGCATCCTGGCTTATTAGAACAGTGTGATGCTCTTAGCAGTGGTCTGATGTTCATACCTTGGTCAATGTAGAAAGAAGTGGTGCTAAAAAAAAAGTACACATAAACAACAGCACATGATGTGCTACACTGAGTCATTATTTCATTGATAACACCACAGAGGCATTGTGTGTTACATTTAAATTTCACTGGAATAAGGAAAGGTGTAGTCAATAATCCTGTTAAATAACTGAGACTACAATATTCACCAGTACTGATTGTAAATTTTGTTATGACTGATTGGTCTACATGAAGTGATAAGTAGTGGAAAAATGTAACCTATTCTTTACTAATCAGGTTTTTAGACTGAAGTGCACATAATGACCCCCACCCCCTCTGAGAAGTGGGTCATCACAAAATCCATTGGTTTTTGTTTTCAATTCTATGATTGCCCCTTCACCAACTGTCCAGTCTTTCAAGAAGCACACACACACACACACACACACACACACACACACACACACACACACACACCGTGCCATAATACAGCCGCATCTATGTTTTTCCTGTGGCAGGGTTTTAGATTTAATATTAGCGATTTTGTGTCTGTGGCTGCTGATGGGGGACTTGTTTGTGCGCTTATCACAGCGCCTGCTGTCCATTTAATCTCTCCTTTGTGTTGTTGGTGTATGCGTGTGCGTGTGTTAGTCCTATAACGAGAATACGGGTGCACATACACATATAACAAACATACGTTACTGTGTCAGTGTGTCACATGAAAGGATTAAACCCTCAGCTTATGTAGCATCCAGCCTCAGTGACAATAACGTTCAGCTGCAAGTATTTTAACACGTGTGGGTGCTGCTCTGTGCTGCTCTATCAATTTTATCACGATAAAGAGCAATCATGACGCTCGGCGTTCAGGGGGCGGGGACTGGGGAGGGCTTGCAGGTGCAGAAGGAATACAATACGCTTGTAGGGTGATTGACAGCGCTGTTGTCCAATCACTGTTATTTTTATTGCGATAAGTCTGCTGCTGGACGCTGGCATCAGAGTTTGATAGTACTGAGAAATATGTCGCTCTTTGAGAGTCTGTTACCCAGTAATACTATGGATTTGTGAGAAGAACACATAATTATTGTGGGATTACGTTTATTTGGCGGCCTCTCGGCGTTGCACGGGCCTGGATAAGTTACAAACCGAGCAGCCTCTTCTACGAACAGTTGGTCAAGCTAGCCGCCTGTAGTAAAATGACGGAAGACGTATCGGTGGGCTGCTAGCTGATTATTTATCTTTGAATTAGCCAGGAACTGGTACAGCTAGCTACCAAGACAAGACCCCATCACCGCTGAAAGGCTGGAGTATGGATTTCTGACGGATACAACGACTTTTCTGTCATTCTAACCGCAGGAAGAAAAAACACGCCCAACAGTGAAACATCGGGTTTACTGTGTTTGGAACTGAACCTCGCAGGTGAGATGAATTGTTAGCTAGCTGCTAGCCAGGGTTAAGCAGTACAGACCTAGGTAGCTCACGGTTAGCTCATGTTAATGCTTACTCGGGCAGCAGCGTTATACTGAGCTTTAGCAGTCGGTGGAGTGCCTGTATGAATGGTATTTTTAGATGTCCACATAGCTCATAATAACAAGGCAGAGCCTGTGGCTGTGGCCGTACTCTCGCGTCCTGTGGCTCGGCTTCGTTTTCTCCATCCCACTCATTTCGTGTAAGCTAGCTATCACCGGAATTGAAATCTTAGCGAAATTTTCTCCAATCCCTTTGACGTTAGCACCATTCTCGGTGGCTAATGCTCTGCGTCCCCACCCCGGCTTCAGTGTGGGCTGTGTGTCGCTCACTCGGGGGCTCAGAACATTCCGTCAGCTTCTGCTTCCTGAGTATTGGCAGTGAAGCCCTGACACCACGGCACGGTGTCTCTGAAAGGATGGTAATGATAACGACCACCATGTTAACACTGGCAGCTTCACAGAGCCGTTTAGCGTGACGCCCTGTTCGTCTGTAAAGACCAGCCTGGCAGGGCCGAGTCTGGTCCGCTGCCCGCTTCCTTCATGTAAATCGGGCAGCCGCCTGGCTCTGCGGGATCAGCCGAACATCCCCGCGCTGCACTTGACACGTTACTGGGTTTTTTCCTTTTTCAACGCGATTAAAATGACAATTCACAGCCAGTGTTCGGAGATTATAATCTTTGAGTAAAAGCCATCCTTTTTCCACTTTGCATATATCAAGGCTCTGTCTGCTGCTGGGACTGCAGCAGGATATACACACCCAGTATCTGTGTGTGCATAGGTGCTGACAGCGCTGTAGGCTGCTTCAGATGGAAGGTGGTGCCATTGTGCTTGTAGGTTTTCTTGAAGGGTGGAGATTCTGCCTGATGGGAGCATGAATCCACTGTGAAGTACTGACCAGCTTACATAAGACCCGTTGCTGAAAAGAGGAGAAACTTGTTAGAATTGTACAGGGTCTGTCTGTGGGTTATATGAAGCATTTCCATCTGTGTTTGCACCATTTTGCTCACAAAAATGTAAAGAAACGAGTGGTGGCTCAAGAATTTAGCGAAATACTCCTGGTGCTTTTGGATCCAACAGTTTTGAATGCTCCCTCAGGGTGACCACATACTGCAGTCCTGACATGTGCACTTTCATTTTCTTTTTATTTTTTTTTATAACTTTGTTCGATCAAAATGATGTTGTTTTTTCCCTGCCAATTAATCTCTAATAGAAACGGACTGATCCAGGCTTTAAGTGATCTGTTAAGTTTTCATAGCTAACGTTTGTTCACAGCAGAGTTATCGTAGTTTTATCATTTCTAGTTAGTTTTCAGACTTTTTGTTTTGAATTCAGTTTGGTTTTAGTTTCCAGAGTGGATTGTCTTATTTCCTCTTAGTTTTTATTGTTTCAAGATGTTTAGTTTCAGTTAGTTTTAGTCTCTTTAATCATTACTGTATGGAGGCCATGAGTCAGAGGAAAGTTTTTAAGAAAATTAGTATAGATGGTACAGTAAAAACCTGATTTTTGAAAGCAGATGACTCACGGTGTAATTGTAGACATCGAGAGTCTCAAACATGTCTGTCAACTCGTTGGGTAAGTTTATTTGTTTTATTAACAAACTAACAGATACAAATACTAAGGATATTTCCTCTAGACATTTAGTCTTTTTTTTTTCTTTTTTTTTGTAAGTTTAGAAAACCATTTCAGTTTCCTTTTTTAAATCAAAAGTCTGGTTTTTATATAACTAAAATGTTTTTCACCTCCAGTAACTGGTTCCTCGTACCTTGATGTGAGAATTATAAAACATTGTCAGTCTGACGGACATTGAAATATAACTCATTCAGGCCTAGGTGGACCCTGGCAGACTGGCCGGCTTTACTCAGTTTCCAGAAATCCGGATTTACTCTGGTAACCACTGGGCATCTCGTATGGGAGCTGTAGTCTGCTACAAAGCCTACAACTCATCAACCCACATGCTTCAACCTGACGTCCACCCTAAAGGTCAGTTTAAAGCCAAGAACCCACACAAAAGACTGAGTGTGGCAGTGAGGGCACAGTCCCACTGAGGCAGTAAGCTAACAACTGTATGTGGGGATGCCCAACGAGCTGCTGCACTGATGTCCTCCACAGAAACAGTCAAGTAGGGTCCGTGAGATCGACATTCCTCCGGTGTGACGTGCAAGCAGGAAGTTGTAGTCCTGGCACTCGTATGCCATCACAGTGGCCTCCACCAGCACCTAATGTGCCAGTCAGTGATGTGGCATAAGCTCCCTTCATGAGATGAGTCCAGGATACAGAGCTGGTTCCCTTTTCCTAAACCTCTTAGTCCTACTCCCCGTTGAGGGGATTCCCACTTTCCCGGTCTGTGCACCAGGAAGTGTGTTGTGCCCAATGAGGGTAGGTCCTTGCTGCTCCACATGATCAGACTGTAAGCTAACCTGTGCAGTGTCACAGAGCGAGCGCGTCCCACTGTTGAGTCTGTCCTAACCAAGGCATGACTATATTTCAGGAATGGCAGGAAATGCCTGTAAACCAAAAAAACTGCCGTGAGCTCCAAGTGGCAGCAGCTTTTACGAGTGTGATGGAGGAGCTGGTTGAAGAGGGGATCAAATTCAGCCTCAGCATCTTAAACCATGTCCCTATACTAGCTTTCCCAGTTTGTTGCTGGGCTCTGCTACAGTATCAGAAAGGCAGGGATTGGCCTGTGACGCTGCCAGTCAACGTTCTGCCAGCACACACACATGCAGGCAGTGCCGAGGGGGCAACGGTCTGTCCCCAAGACCCTTATTTTTAGATTTTGACTGTTCTCATCAAATTACCAGTAACACTTTTTACTTAGTTAACAAAAGTCACATACATAAACTAACCTGTAAAGCTACAGAGGTTTGGCCTGTGAGGTAGAATTACTCTTTGGTAGCACAGTCTGACAGCTTATCACAAGACGAAGCATCGTCAGGCCCTGTGTGATGGACCGAGCAGTGAAGGAAACTTAGGCACAGGTTAAAGTCCAAAAAAAAGATTTTTTTATTTAACCCTAAAAACATAATTGGTTAACTCATGCAAAAAGAATCAAAATCTTGGGCCCATAAAAGAGGTCAAAATAACAAAACTCTACTCAAAGTTGACAACACAACTGATAACTCAAACAAACTGACCTAACTTAACGAGACAAAGGAGAAACTTAAATAGTGGCTGATCAGCCCACAAAAACAGGAGAAGGGCTAAAACACACAAAACCTAACTAAACATAATGAACTCCAATCCCCCCCATGGTCCTGAGTTATGGCATGAACCAATTTGTAGTCTCCTTTAAAGCTCACTCCGCCCCTTTTCCACGTCTTGGCTCCTAATCAAGGGACTGGAACAGCTGCAACTACGGTAACGCAGAAAACAAAAAGATCAATCATACATAACAGTGTAAACTAAAATGTGCGCACTTATTTTAGAATGCAGCGTTATGTGGATATGTGAATTAACTCTAAACCAAAACCAGTTATTTATTGTCCTGTAAATTAATTCCTATATTTAAAGAAAGACATGTGAATGCAATGTTACTTATAAGCCTCTACACTAACATGGTGGGTATTACCACTGTGTGGCTGTAGGTGCAGCCATCACACCTGGAAGCACCAACTGCAGTCCGTGGGCAAACTTTGAAGTTGACCATAAAATGATTTTCTGTTTTTGCCATTATACTTTCCATTTGAAGTTTCAGTGTACACTTAAACACGGAGAGTCACACTCTGTCAGATTAGTTCCCTCATTGTCTTTTTCATAGATTTTTACACTTGCAGCATAAGATGGACATTCTTGCTGCCTTCTCCCATCCAAATGCAGGATTACTTCCCAACTCCCTGAATTGGTTCTTGGTCCCCTGGGAAAATCCCTGCTGTGAAACATAAAACATGTCTTCTCATTATTTGATTTGTAAGCAGCACTGCTGATCAGAACAGTCTGAGGAGGTAGTGTTTCCAGCACCACTGACTGCAGCACCTCGAGTTACTGTTTTCTTAATAAAAGTGAATGCAGTCAGTCAGTAATTCCACAGCAGCAGCGTTTGATCCTATTGATCAGTGAATGCAGCTCCCAAAGGCTGTGGAAAATAATAGTTTCTCTTCCTGTTCTTACCACTATAGGAGCATCCTGACCAACCGTGGGACTGGATTCAGCTGTTTGTGACTCCGGACAGATTCTACTGTTCCAGTGTTTCATCTGTTTACCCACCAGACGAGGAAACGTGTTTGCATCCTGAGGAATACTCAGTACACAGCTGGCCTTTGGAACCTCTATTTCCTACATATTAAAGGCACCACTTTTCCCTTCTTGTTGAGGTTGTTTTTAGGGCACGGCTCTGGAGAGACTGTAACCTCCACGGGATTGTTGTGGGGAGGGTGTTATCAATGCCTCAGTGCTCTGCTAGGGAAGGAAGTGGAGGGACGTCCCTGGAGGAGAGGGCACAAAAACACAAAACTGCCTGAAGCTGGGATGCCCGACATTTCTGTTGCATAACTGACACCCATGAAACCATCGGAGGAACAGAGTAGGTCCGTGTTGCCATGGCTGGCTGATGTGATACCACTACCTGTTTACACATAGCCCGGGCCTCCCTGTTTGGCTCTTTCTCAACACTTCCAATACTAATGAAAAGGATACTAATGGATGGTCTACTGGATTTTCCCCCAGTTGTTTTGGAAAGTGTTACCCACTCACAAACTGCCTCCTGTCTTGCGATCACATCTACAGTGCAGCTTGCAGGTGTGGTGGTTTGAATCGGCCACCAGCGGGGTCTAGGGATGCCCCGACACAAGAAAACCAGGCTACTCCATTGGCCCGCTTACAGACTGCTGTTTCTAATACAAGTCCTGGACTGAAGGCCAGTCGGGGTTGATGCATTTTTTAAATTTAAAGCCTGTCCTCGGATCGTTCCCCTGACCTGAGAACATTTTGCTAGTTTGGACGAGCTTGTTGCTG